GACAGTGGAAAGGTCTAAGAACCGGTGAAGTATAAACATTTCCGATCTAATTCATCAATGTCTCCTTTGCATGTCAGAATTCATATTTACAATTGTTTTTCAGGTATTGTTCAAAATATAGGAAAACCCATTATACCACCTTGGTAGGTTTGTGCCTACCAACATTTGATCTGTTCTATAAATTTAGGCACTCTTTGCTCCAGGCAAACCCTGTGACATGGAACCTACAATAGCTAACACAATGCTAGATTTATGCACTGAGACCTTTATTTTTTATTCTTTCAAAATGTGAGCATGTCAAGCACATGTGAGTCATGCCCTGGAGAGCCTTGAACTCATCAAATATTGTTATAATATAAACACTTTATATGCTATAAAATTAAGTTGTTGTTATCAAATCTCATCACCTAACTGAAAATGGAATTAAAAAAAATAGGACTTCAGAGGTGTTGGGTGAGGAAGAGACACATGAGTTTAAGATCCTGCACCTGATTTTAGCATCACCCCTTACATGATAGAAATGGAAAGTGTTTGTGTGTATGTATACGTGCAATGAGTTGGGAAAAGATCAGATTTATTTGTGATGTCCCATGAAGACTGATACTAAGAGAAAGAAGGAATCAACACTTTTGCAGAGGAAGTGAGAATATTGACAAAGTGGTGGTAGATTGATGTTATCGATCTATTTTCCAACCACTATTGGATTGAGTAAACTGGAAATCCCAAACAGTCTTTCAGACAAAATAAACCTTATGAGTTATATTGAATGTGATTGGGAATCAATTTTCGTTTATAATTTCACTGAAACTCACTGCTCAAACTTTCTATGATTCATTGTGGTAATAGTGTGACCAGCTGCATATTTCATACTGTAAAATCCCATTTGATACTTTGCTGGCCGCATAACCTTTGGGGCCAGTGATCGGTTGATACAAAAGTTATTCTTAATTAAAATTGGTGTTGACTATTGAATAACTGAGAAATCTTGATGATAAGATCATACATTCTGAGGGTACTAAATCCATTCAAAATACAAGAAATTAACATGAACATTTTTCAGTAGAATTAGTGTTCTTAGATGATCTTATGAGGAATTCTCAGTTATTCACTAGTGAGCATCAATTTTGATTTAGAACAACTTCTGTTTCTAATAAGTGTCAGATTACAGTGTTGATATGAATCACACAATAAGCTTCCTGGCCATATCGCTCAGTTTAATCTGAGTAAAAGATTCCAAATGTACAGAATTTTGTAAGAACCTCAATACATATATATTTCTGTATTTACTGCAAAACGTGTAGCCCCACTTGTGTAAAGTGTCATTTTGGTTCAGCTGGTAGCTCTATTGTGCCTGTGTTAGGACTTGAGCTTCAAGGTCAGGCTGACGTTTTGTTTTGGTCACATACAGAATCCCATCACCATGTTTAAGAGTATCTAAACCAGACTGAGAGTTCCCCATATGTAAGCCACTGACACATTGAAATTGTCCAGCTAAATAGTACATTCTCCCCTCCAAGTCAGAAGCCAATGGGCTGAAATTCCACTTGAAGACTTTGAATTCACAGCTGACACTCCAGTGCATTGCTGGGAATGCGCTGCATTTTGGAGGTGCCGTCCTTCTGAGGACTCATTGAACCGCGATCCTGATGGTTGCTTAAGATCCCATGGCACTACTCAGAAAGAATTTCTTCCAGTGTCCTGCCCAGCAATTCCCCATGTAAAATTTTAAATTAATTTCATAGCTGTTTGTGGGTTATTGCTGTCGCACTCACCTACAAAGCATACAATCACTTCATTTTATTGTAAATCCTGTGAAGCACTTTGAGACATTATTCTAACATCAAAGGCTTCTTCTAACAAAAGGAAGTATCTCTTTGACCGTGCCTTCAGCTCCCCTCTTAACTCTCTACGCCCTCCTCGCCCCCTCCCTTCCCTCACCCTGACCATTTCCCCCTGCTCGGGTCCTGACCCAACTGTCCAGCGCTTTGGGACGTCCTCCCGACGTGAAAGGCGCTCTATAAATGGAATCTTGTTGTTGTTGTTGTATCATTATAGTTAATGACATACGGTTTAATAGCACCTCCGACAATGCTGCACAAATAGTTGTTAAAAGAAACAGAGGGGAGGTTAGTAAAAAAGTTTCACCTAGCAAGTTGTTTGGATCTGGAATGCATTACCTGAAAGGGTAGTGGAAGCTGATTCAATAACAACTTTTAAGAGAGAAGTAGATGGGTATTTGGGGAGGACAGGATTGCAGGGCAATGGAGAGAAAGCGGGCCAGTGGGATTGAGTTGGATTGCTCTTTTAGGAGTCGGCGCAGACGCGATGAGCCGAATGGCCTCTTTCTGTGCTGTATGATTCTATGATTCTATAAACCCCAGTACTGCATTGGAATATCAGCATGTTGCACTATGCTTGTCCAAATGGATAGAATTGAATAGTGCAGTGTAACTATCCTTTAAATATATATTTGCCCAAATTTTACTGAAAGAGACTCAGCATAAACAACACGGGTTCCAAGGCCCAACATGGGGCTTGAACCCATAGCTTTCTGACTCGGAGGCGAAAGTGTTCCAAACTGAGACAGACTGACATACATTGGGTGTATCAACACCAACTCCAACATCTTTGTTTACCTTTCTTAGTATTGCTGTCAATAATTTTTGAAATTCACAGAAATAGTTCAGCACTTACATTCGCCCAATTATGGGTTCAGATTCTGTTGTGGGTGCAGAGATAAATTGCTGTATTATAACTGCTGAATTAAATAGTCAAAAATTGTTTAAAATCCCCTTGATGTTCAGGGGCATCTTATATATTCTTCTCGAAGAACTGTCAGTTTTAGTTTATGACTAAAATGTAGAGTAGAAAATCCATGCAAAGAAGGCTAAGGAGTAATATATTAACCAACCAAAGAAACAATTGCAAATTAACCTCTCACTACAAAATAGTATTCGTAGATGCTCCTGTAAATGCTATTTCATGGAGGTGTTTCGATTTCCGTAAAATTAGTGACAAGTCCCACAAGTTGTTCTTTTTTGGTTCACGTAGAATGGATTTAAACCTCACCATGTCAAAAACAACAGCACTATCTCATCTACTTTCTATTTTCTATTCAATGCTATTTGGTTGGTTCAATATTTGGTGCAACGGGAGAGGTCGGAAGGAAATAACACAAGAGGGAGTAACAGTTGTTATAAAAATACCAAAACGCTTCACAGGATATACTGTAATTTAGCTCTGTGTACTTTGTGGATGAACATGGCAGCCAAATTGTGCACAACAATGTCCTACAAACAATAAACAATTGTATCTGAGAGATTGTTGGCCTGGACACCAGGAGAAACTCCTTTCTCCTTTCAACAGTCCATGGGATCTGTAACATCGCCTCGGTTTAACATGTCATCTGAAGGACAGTATCTCTGACAATGCATCCAGACCCTTAAGAGCTAGACTGACATAAGATGACATTATACAGCTGAGACCTCACTGAAGCCTGGTTGACCAGGCTTCAGTGACGTTGCAAGCACTTCACCATTTGTCTTTATTTTCCCTTTATCCTGTCCCCTTCCCCCGAAAGTGCTAAGCCTTACTGAGGTATGGGTTCACAGGTGCTTGGAGCCTGACCAAGGTTTTTCTTGACCAAAATGATCATTCTTCTTGTATGTCTGAAATTTAGCAACTATTCGACAATGGAGGGCACCACAAGATATTCACACTTATGCAATGGCTATTGGATAGTGGCCAGGAGAAGTAATCTGAGCTAATTTATATTTTTCTTCTTTTCCCTAGTCCAGGGTGCTGATAGTTGCCATCTTCGACCATATCTTATCCCTATTGCAGCCAAAACCCATGCTTTCATCACCTCCTGCCTCAACCACTCAAATGCCCTCCTCCCAGGTCTACCCAGCTCCACTATCAACAAACTACAACTGATTCAGAACTCCACTACCTGTATTGTCACCCACAGTAAACTCGGTATACCCATCGCACCAGTCCTCGCCAGGCCCCACTGGCTCCCTATTACAGAATGGATCGATTTCAAGATCCTCTCACTCGTCTACAAATCCCTTCATGACCTGGCACTTCTCCACCTTTCTGATTTCCTTTCTTCCCACTCCACTACTCACTGCCTCCACTCAGCTAGCTCTGGCCTCCAGCTTGTCCCTCATTCCCTCCCCTCCACCATCAGCGACCACATTTTCAGCCACTATGTTCCAAAGCTTTGGAACTCTCTCCCTCAATTCCTCCACCTTGCCCCCTCCTTCCCCTTTTTTAGATCACGACTGAAGACCTTTTGCTTTGACTGCTTTTGGTCATCTCCTCCCTTCCCCCAGCTCGGCTTCGTCATTGTTAAGCTTTTTTCATTGCCAGATCTTTTCAAGCATTGTCCCTGTTTAATGTTGATACATAAACTTATTATCCACGTATAAAACTATTGCCACGTATGTGAAATGAACTGTCATTTCTCGCAGTCTCAGAAAGTGTGATCAAAAAATATAGGATTATCGTTGTACCAAAATAAATTGCTGAACTAACAGAATGAATAATAATAATAATCCTTGCATTTGATATAGTGCATTATCACTTCTTCGAGACGTTTTAGAGCACTTCACAGAATATACTGTAAAATGAATTGACAGTATATTTTGTGGACAAAACACAGCAGCCAATTTTGCACAGCAGTGTCCCACAAACAGTCGTGGATTGAAGTCACTTATTTAGTATTTTTTTTCAAGAAATTATTACCCCCAGAAAAGCAATCTGCCAATCGATTAAAAACGAGGTTCCTACTTACTGCTAGGTAAACAGGCGTGTGGAGTAAGGAAGCTTGCCCAACATTTCGCCCTGGCGGTAATCCAACCCAGGTTTCTCGCTTGCAAAGCGAATGCTCTAACCGCTCAGTCAAAATTATGATGGATTATAGTTCTAGTACCAACAGTAATACAATAATTCACCCAAAACAACACAACAATGGAAACTGATACTGGAATTCTTACCTTGTAAAGATACAACACACAGCAGCAAGAAAGCATTGAAAATATATTTGCAGGTTTTGGTGAGCCACATTGTTCTACAAAAAACAGAGGCATTTAACCATTAACATCAGCACCAAAACATAAAATAGTGAAGTTTTTGCCTTCCTCGATGCTTCTCACAAAGTATTCATGAAGTTAAAATGAAATCCTTTTAAACCACCAAGTACTGACATGGTTTCTCTCTGTTGTATCACTAGCAATGTGCGAATGAGCTGCAGTGTGAACGATCTCACTACCTACCAGAAGTGACGCAACTCTGTGGTTAGTTTTGCAAAATATCATGCATTAACTTTTAGTGCTAAAATTATACTTTTAGGTCATGTGTTGTACTCTGATTATGATCTGCCTGTATATGAGTTTGCAGTCTCTCCACCTGTCTGCCATCCCCAGCTATCTCTTTACCAAATCTATTTTCCACAATTGATAATGCCTCATTGTAACTCCTAGCATTAATAAGGATATGTCAAACAAACATATTTTGTGTTAATTTTCCTAAAATGGCACATTCATATGAAAAAGACTGATATCTAACCCTGAATTACAATAAAATCCCCTTTTGAGCTCATTATTATGCAGTATTATAATTCTAAGAAACTTTCCCCCTTTTATTAACGGTTTACAAAGTAATATCCTTACAGTGCTAAACACATCATTCTCAACGTTGCCTGCAGTCCTGTAGGGATATATTGAGCAGAGGAAAGGTTTGATGAAATATGTCATTTCTAAATCAAGGTTGTGTGCCTCCTGAAGGCTGGTTCATAGTAACATTTTAAAGAATATATTTCTCTTTCCTCCAGTGCACACCTTCACTGCTCCTGAAGCCATCGATTGATACTGGAGTATAGTTTTTCGAGAATCTCAGTGTGCAATATTACTATTAATTTAGTAGTTTTAAAAGAATACAATTATTAATCCTTGCATTTGTTATAGTGGTCTTATCACATCATCGAGATGTTTCAAAGCACTTCACAAGAATTACTGCAAAGTGGAGTAACTGCATTTTGTAAGCCAACCAACAGCCAATTTCCACACAGGAATATTCCACCACGAGCCATGCAGTGAATGACTAATTATCTTATTTTCTGAGGGATGGTTGGCCAGGACACAGTAAGAAACTCCCTTTGCTTTTTCAAAAAGTTCCATGTAATCTTTAACATCCACCTGAGCAAGCAGATGGGACCTTGGTTTAACAACGCATCTGAAGGACAGCATCTGTGAATGTAATTATAAACCAGCACTGTATTGTGAGCTCAAAGCCTGACATGGTGCTTCAACCCACCATCTTTTAACTCAGAGGGAGCTAAGGACAAGGAGCAAATAAAGGTGCAGAGAGGCCCCTTGTTTGCTTCCAGGAGAAGTCTCCCACCAATCTACCTGCCTCACAATATACAACAATAACAACAACAAAATTACATTTGTATAACACCTTTCACGTCAGGAGGACATCCCAAGGCGCCGGACAGTCAGAGTTTCAGACCCGAGCTGGGGGTTGGGATTGGGGAGGGTGGAGGGCAGGGGGAGAAGCAGGTTGATCAAAAGCATGGTTTAAGAGGTGGGTCTTGAGATGGGTCTTGAAGGAGGCCAGGGTGGGGCCGAGGTAGAGGGACTGCAGGATGGAGTTCCAGAGGGTGGGGACAGAGTGGCAGAAGGCCCGCCCACCAAAGGTGGTGTAGGCAAGGCGGAGGACGTGAAGTAGGCCGGATCGTGCTGAGCAGAGGGAGCGAGCAGGATGGTAGGGGGTTAGGAGGTCGCAGAGGTAGGGGGGAATGAGGCCATGGAGGGCTTTGAAGGTGAGGACCAGGATGTTGAACTGTGTCCTCTGTGTGATGGGAAGCCAGTGGAGTTGGGCACGGATGGGGGTGATAGGGTCACGGAGCCTGGTGCAGGAGAGGACACGGGCTGCAGAGTTCTGGATGATCTGTAGCCTGTGGAGGGAGGGGTTGGGGAGGCCGACAAGCAGTGAGTTTGCATAGTCAAGCCTTGATGTAATGAGTGCGTGTATGAGGGTTTCGGTGGCCTGTGGTGTGAGACAGTGGCTGAGCCGGGCGCTGTTGCGGAGGTGGGGGAAGGTAGAGTGGGTTATGGCATGGATGTGGGGTAGAAAGGATAGTTGAGGGTCAAACAAGACCCCAAGGTTCCGGACTGGCTCAGTGAGGTGGAGTGCGCAACTGTGGATGGTGATGCTGTCAGCGCCTGAGGTGAGGAGGCGCTGACGGGAGCCAATCAGGAGAGCCTCGGTCTTGTTGACGTTCAACTGTAGAAAGTTCGCTCTCATCCAAGACTTGATGTCTGACAGACATTCTATCAGGACAGCAGTGGTCCTGGAGTCAAGGGTGGAAGCAGAGAGGTAAGTTGGGTCTGGTTGCTTCGGGTAAAGCTATAACCTAGCCCACCGCAGCATCTTTAATAGGAGTTGTGTGGCTTGGGGTCACTCAGTATGTGTCAGTCAGTACTTCAGACTGCTCAACGCAGTGGCCTCATGAGTTACTACTTGGTCAGCATAAAGAATGTAATGAAGGAGTGTATGTGCGGGTTATTAAGAAGTGGCTTTGGTGGGGAGGATTGTGCAGGTTATTTGGTTGGTGGTTGTATAAATTAACTGTGGGCTGCAGTTGTTTATTTTGAGAAATGTGATTACATCAAGCATTTGGTTCTTATATGAATGAATATTTAGTTAATGGACACTAATCAATTGTCCACATTAACATAAAAGTATTTGCAGTCTGTTTATAATCAATAATCCTTTCATTTCATATAGTGCTTTTCACATTGGGAGGATGTATCAAAGCGCTTCATATTTACTATAGAGTGTAATGACTGCGTATTTTGTAGGTGAACATGTGTAGATTAGATTCTGTGTTCCACATCTATAAGAGAAATATAGTTTAGAAATTGAGCCATAAGTATAAAGAAGTAATTCCTTACATTTCTTAAATTCAACTTACATTGACCTTTTATAGATATTTATATAATATATAATTTGATATATTTCATTTATATTATGTATAATGCTGTTTTATTTTTAATAATAAACCTTACATTTAATATAGCATATTATCAGATTATTGAGATGCCGCAAAGCACTTCACAAGATTTTTACTGTGAAGTGTAGTAACTGTGTTATTTGTAGGTGAATGAATCCTATCTTATAGGTTTTGAATCCTATGCTGCCAGTTTTCCCAATGAGGTTCAGCTGAGCTCCCTTATATTCCTGAGTCTTCCTTAGTGTGGATTCAGTCTATATTTTAATGTTAATCTGCTGTTTGCCGAATGTAACAAAACAATTTATTCTGTTGAAGTTTAGCTATTGATGTTGATGTCATGCTCTCAGTGATGCTTCTTTGAATCCATTCTAATGTATCATATTTTGTTATTGTATGAAATAATTTAGAATAACAGTACTTGTAAGTTGATGGGTCCTTCAAAATAAACTGTTATGTAATATGAGAGACTATTTTGCCTTTAATCCTTTTCTATTATGAAGAGAAATACTACCTGCATCTAGATATAAACTATTTGTGTAGGATTTTAGAGTATTTGCCAAATTCTTGAATACAGCCTTCATTTTGAAGCCAGCTTCTAATGTCTGTTTGAGTTGCTTGCCAGATGTAGTGTCCTGCATCATCCTGCTCTCCTGACATTTAGTTTACATCAAGTTACTTGATACATATGCATGCTTTCAGGCAAGGTTTAGGTTGTACACAGTGCTGGGCACGACTTAATAAACAGTTTTCTATTCCCATAGTAACACATCACACAGCACATTTATGACTTTTTATCAGTGATATGACACAAACTGGACACAACTGGATAAATATCAGCTAACACATGTGAGGTTTGATTCGACCCTCTACATTTACGCTATTAATGTAGCATTTCAGAGTATCCAGAATTTGATAAATTGTTGAATTCAGTCTTAACTGTCATCAGTTTTCTGCAGTTCTTAACTGACCTTTTTGACTGAGTGATCACCTCCCTTCTCCCTTGCTTAGTGTTCGACTCACCATTGTGAAGCACTCTGAGACATTATCCTACGCGAGGAGCGCTATATAAATGTAAGTTGCTGAACCTAAGAATTTTCTGTAATTCTGTACAATATTACATTTTCAGACAAAATTGTCTTTGAGGCTAAGACAAGGTGGAATTTTGGGCCACTACTATGCTTTTTGCATGTCTATATCAATGAAATATTGGTGCTACATTATGAACTAAATACCAATGTTCGTATAGTAATCTAATATTGGTATTCCAGGACATTCTTACACTGATTATTTTCTGAGCTGTATAATGGTCAGAATGGTATGTTTTTTCATACCTGTTGTGAGTTGGTTGAAAGACCTAATACGATTATTCACTTTCTGGTAAATGTTATTTTACCAATTGATAGATTTTTAAAAACTAAAGGGATTAAGGGATATGGTGATAGGGCGGGTAAATGGAATTAGGTTAGAAGATCAGCCATGATTTTATTAAATGGCAGGGGCAGGCTCGAGGTGCCAAATGGCCTACTCCTGCTCCTATTTCTTATGTTCTTATGTTCCTATAATCTAAAGAGGTTTCTATTATAATCAGAGCTACCATTGTAATGTTCACACTGATTGTCACTTCACCAGAATGGTGATCATTTCACCCACTACAAATACCACCCGATCAGCTACTTATTCATTTTACACAAAGTCAAAACCTACATGTTGTCTGTTCCTTACCTGCCACCTACACACTTTCCATTAACCCTACACTTAACAGTGTGAAAAGTAAGATTCACAAAAAGTACATACATAACCACAAACTCTAGCATCAAAATTACACTCAGAAGTTGTTGAAAGTCTGTTTTTGTGTAAAACATAATCCTGCTTCCCCCACACACTTACAAATATACACATAACTCCCACATATATACCCACACACATGGAACCTGATGCTAATGAAGGTTTTGGACACCTCTTTAGGGCCTCTGATGGTTATGGTGTCTCCTGTAATATTCTCTCACATCCGTTTGTACCAGCACATTCCCACCCAACAATCAGCTTCAGCTCCCTGAACCTCTGGAACTCTCTCTCTCTACCCTCTCTCTACCTCTCCATCTTCCCACTCTCTATCCGTTTTTAAATCCTGCCTATGGCCTCTTCCCCCTCCTGGCTTTGTTAAGCCCTCTGAGACCTTACAGCACCTTGGGACGTCCTTCCAACATGAAAGGCGCTTAACAAACATAATTTTGTTGCTGTTGTTATTCTA